CCTGGGGCGGGGCCTGGTGGGCAGAGGCGGTCCTGGGGCGGGGCCTGGTGGGCAGAGGCGGTCCTGGGGCGGGGCCTGGTGGACAGAGGTGGCCCTGGGTGAGCCTGGTGGGCAGAGGCGGCCCTGGGTGAGCCTGGTGGGCAGAGACAGTCTCAGGGCGGGGCCCAGAAGGCCTGGCCTCTTCCCTTCACTTTCTGCTTCTTGACCCCTGGGAGATGAGCACTTTCCACCCCGGCCCTTCCACCATGCTGCCCTACCTACAAGGACTGAAGTTGCTAAAACATGGGCTAAACCTGTCCTCCTTTAATTTGGGCATCGGGTGTTGTGTCCCAATGACAGAAAAAGTGAATGAGACACCTACCATTTGCTTTTTGCTCTGAACTCTTATACCATGGGGAGAAAGAAAGCGCACTAACATCTACAGAGTGCACAGGGCTCAGCAGTGTCCCTGCCCCCTCAGAAAGCAGGGAGACCTCACAGACGGGGTGGACCCTGAAGTCCACAAGGGAGGCAGTCACTGGGTGCTGGGAATGGGAGGCGTGAGGATAAAGCACGGTCAAGGTCAGCTTCATGACGTGAGAGATGCGGGCCTGGGAGCAGTATGTTGGTGCAGACAAGCCAGCGAAGATGGAGTGGGAGGGGCCGCCAGGGAACAAGTGGGCAAGGCCAAGGGCAGTGAGGACCTGACTTGGGGGCTCACAGAGCACAGTGAGGACCTGGGCTCAGCCTGCATGGAATGAGAAGCCACAGGGTGCCTTGCTGTCTTTAATCTGCATGCAGTTCTGACAGCTGCTAGGGTGCCCAATTCTTTCGTTATCCTTAGAGAGAAAGGGCCTTGGCCTTTCCATGAAGGTGCACCCCAGCTGGAGGTGTGTAAGGCATTTTCAAGCATGAATATTAAACATGACTGGCATGTGCAGTGTTTTCACAGAACCACTGTGGCTGGGCATTGAGAATTGAGGGAGATCCGTGGCTGTTGCCCCAGTAACCCAGGCAGGAGGTGGGGTGGCTCCGGCCAGGCTTTGGGGATGGAGCTGAAGTGGTTTCCACTTCTGGCTCAGGCAGGTGCTGGAGCTGGTGGGATTTCCTGCCAATGAGATGCCAGGCATGAAAGAAGGCAGAGCCAAGGACAACCCCACAGGGTTTTCTCCAGTTCGGGGAAAGCTGGCGAAGGCTGTGGACTGTGCCGGTGGCAGGGAGGATGACAGTTGTGTCTGGGACATGCTAGTCCCTAAGCCAGGTCCCTAACCCATCTAGTGGCCACCTTGCCTAGAGAGCTAAGCCCAGTGACCAAGTATGAGGGGGAGGGGGAAAGTGGGGCACTGTGTGCAGAGCCAGGCAAGGGGCTTGGACAGGATTCTTCTTCACAGAGCCCTTGGAGGAGACCCCAGCCCCCACTAGAGTCTGCTTGCTTCCTGGGGGGGGGACCCTGAGGAGAGGAGCAGCTACCTAGGCCTGGGCTCCCCACTTACAGAAACTGAGATGATAAATGTATGTTGGCTTAGGCCGCCAGCGTGGGGAGTATTTGTTATGCAGCGTTCACGTGCACTGGGGTATCAGTTCCCTGTGGCTGCTACGACAAACGAACACAAACCTGGTAGACTAGAGGCACCAGGTCAATCGCCTCACCATGAGGAGCTCAGAAGTTGGAAAGCGGCGTATAGGGCTCACCCCAGGGTGTGGGCAGCCTGCATGCCTCCGGCGGGCCTCGCAGATGCCCGCTCCCTGCCTTCCCCAGCTCCTGGAGGCCCCTACACTGCCACACACAGCACTGCCTCCTCCCTGTGCTGCACCCATCGGACCCCAGCACCTCTTCCACTTCTGGGGACCCTCATGACTACAGGGTTCTGGCCAGCTAAGCTGGGGAGCCCCAAGCTCCCAAGCTCCCAAGCACCATCACATCTACAAGTTCTGGCCTTGAATCTGACCTGGTCACAGTGTCAGGGAGGAGGGTGTGGGCTGTTGGGGTCAGGGACAGAGAGAGAGCCACACAGCCACCTGGGGCGGGTCACATCTAGCAGACAGCCAGTGCCTGCACTGGTACTGCCTCCACATGTTCACAATTTATAACAACTTCCTGGAAAAGCAGGTTCTAAAGTCTCCAAGGCCTTTGAAACTACAACATGGAAGAGACGGATGACGACCGGCGCTGCCTCTCGGGCCAGTGGAGAGCGCTGCTTTGCTTTTCCTGACTGACACACACTCGTCTGAGCTGCAGAAAGTTTGTTTTTCCATTAACAAGGCAAAACAGCAAGTAGGGAGACCCTGGATCTGTAAATATATCCTGACAACTCAAGGCAATTAAGCAATGAATCGGTAGATTAATTATGACATAGGCATCTCCAGAAAGCAGCCTTGGGTTAGACTTATTTAATCAGTTGATGAGGTCATTAATTCGCCTACTTGCTTCCTGAATGCAAAACTCCCTTTAAGAAACTTCCCCAGAGCCAAGAGAAATTCACAACATTACACTCATGAGTAAGTAAATACACAAAGCATAAAAAGGAACTATGCATAAGCTGCCATTTAAATAATTTAACCAGCGAGTTTCAGATGAACTGCGGATGCTCCGGCTTGCACTGAGATGTCCCCAAAGGCCTCATGAGTGTGGCTTCTCAGAGGCAGCTGGATCTGAGAGACGCTGGGGTTGATTCATGGTGCAGCACAAGGTCAAGGGCACTAGGACCAAGGATGCAGCGCTGCCAGCCTGAGTGGCGCAGCCAAGTCAGAAGGGACAGAGGAGCTGCGGCCCGCCTGTGCTGCTCTGCTGCCTTTTGCCCACCAGCAGCTGTTCTCCTCCACGCTGCCCACTGCCACGCCCTGCCGCCTTGGAGCCAGCTGATTATAGACTATAATGTCTATGAGCCTTTCCCCCTTTAATTTTGAGTGTTGGGTATTTTGTCTCAGCAATGAGAAGACAGTGGGCATTTTATCAGAAATAAAATTCTACATCTGTCCTAGGGTTGATGTCACTAAGTACTTAAATGGCTTGGTGCATTACTGTATAGCTTCCTGCTGGGCATTTTGATCTCAAGCTGGGCTTCGAGATGTCTATCTAGCAAGTCATGTGGTGCAGCAGAGCTGCAGGAGTCGCTAGCTGGCGGAGTCACCAGCCTGCTGTGCGTCTGAGCTCAGATCCACATCCTGAGCCTCCAAAGCTTGGGGAGAGCCCCTCGCAAACTCCCTGTGGAGGCCTGAACTCCCGGCTGGGATGGGTGAATTTCTTCCTTCTACCCTGTCTTTGTTTCTTTTTTTGAGACAGGGTCTCATTCTATAGTGCAGGCTGGCCTTGAACTGGCTTATGTGACCCAGTCTGGCCTCAAACTCACAACGACACTTCTGCCTTTGCTTCCAGTGTGCTGGGATTACAGGTGCACATGTGAGGTTTTGAAAGCCCAGGCCCCCCACTTCCTGGACTGGAAACTGACTGCTTAGGAGCCCTGGGTTTGGCATGAATCCATCTTCATTGAGATCCCTGGCCGAGCAGGGTCTGGGGGGCCTTGTGATCACCCCCCACGCTGCACTGTCACTGCTGGAAAGGAAGCAGGGTCATCCTGGGCACTTGCTACACCCTGCCCCTGGGCCCTGAAAGAAGGGCTGCCAACAGGAAATCTAGAGCCATTGTCCTCAAAGAGCTCCCAGCCAGGCAGGAGGCGGGTAAGTTACCGTGGCAGGGCTCGGCCTGGTAGACTCCTGGGGTGCACCTGTCCTTTGCACAGTGCGTCCTTCCACTTCCTGCACACTTTGTTCAGCTCTAGTAGACCAAGGAAGCTCCATTCCAGGCCTCCACTGCCACAGCTTTATTTTTTATAGCCAACTTAAAACCCGTGGAAGGAGAATGTGAGGTGTAGCTCAGGGGCAGAACACCTGCCCAGTATGCACAGGGCCCTGGGTTCCAGCCCTGACACTACAAAGACAAAACAAAAAGGGAAAGAAACAGGAGTTGTTCTTACAACAGGCACCTAGGAGTGGGTGGGCCAGGACAGGAGCAGAGGCTCCAGCCCCGCTGCCCCGGGACTCAGGCCCTCCTGTGCGATCCTGCAGACCAAGACTATGTCTGAGTCAGGCAAGCAGGTGTTCATGTTCTAGGCAGAAAGTGGGGTGCACAGGAGGGCAGTGCTGCAGGCCAGATGTGGCTGTGCCTTCAGGAACAAGGAGCCCTTGGCAGTGAGCACACCGTGGCTCCCAGGTTGGAGCTGTGTCACTTGGCTCCTGCCAACAGCAAAGGACACTCGGTGTCTAGATGTTAGTTTCAGTCTCTAGGGAGCGAGGAAAGGAAGGATGTTCGCCTGTGTGTCTCACTTGGAAATTGCTACTTGTCTTGCAGGCTGGATACTGGGAATTGAACTCAGGACCCCGAGCTTGCCAGCCAGGTGCTACATCCTTGGCCCTGCAAATTGCTTCTTTTATTTTACAGATTTTCAGTTTTATTTTGGTATGAGTTTCTTATTGCTGCTGTAACACAGCGCCACAAAGCCTGTGGCTTGAGACGATGCGAGTTTATTTCCTCACACTTCTAGAAGTTGCTCAGAAATGACTCTTCCTGGGCTCACGTCAGGGCACTGCAGGGCTGGCTCCTCCTGGGGACTCTGGGGAGAATCTGTCCTTTGTCCCTTCTAGCTTCTAGAAGCCACCAGCATCCCCAGGCTCCTGGCCAGAGGTTGACCTCTGACCCTGTGGGACCCTTGGGAGGACACTAGGCCACCTGGACAGCCCAGCAGGACTGTGGGAGGGTGATCATGTGGTGCCGCCGGAGGGCTGGCTTAGCCCCACGACCTCCCTCCTCCTGGAGACCGTGACTAATCTCTCTGTGCTCGCAAACATCAGTGTCCTCATCCAGAGCTGAAGGGCCTTTCTGAGACCCGGTAAATGGCCTTGCCAGCGGACAGCTTTAGTATGCAACTTCACGTACAGTGCGGTGTTCTGAGAACGTCAGCGTGAGTCCAGCGACCCGACACAGCGTTCCTGAGATACCCAGATGGCTGCTGGAGTGGAGGCCCACACCCTCGGAGTCTCGCTAGCATCCCAATGCCCCTGGGCTGCGCGAGTCCTCTCCTGGGCACTCACCTGCTGCCCTCCTGACAGTGCGCTCCGATCTGAATAAACCCTCGTCTTTTTCTTTTTTCTTTTCATCTCAGTAAGCTCTCTGCCACCCACATCCCTGGCCTCTGCAATGCCACGCAGCACGGCAGATATCTTCGCGAGGGGATTCTCAGAGGCACGGGGGATGCCACACACAAGAGAGCCGTCGCTCGCCTCCGCGGTGCCAAGGCACAGCCCGGCCCTCCCGAGGCGCCCACCTGCCTGTCGTGCTCCAGCAGCTCCTGCAGGAGGCCCCACTGCTGTCTCCGGAAGCGGTCTGAGTGCCCCCGCCGCTGCGCTGCACCCTCCTGCATCTCCTGCTGCAGGGTGCTGCACTCCGTCCTGGGGAGACCACTGAGCCCCGGCAGTGTGTGCAAGAACAGGGCGTCCGCAAGGCGCTGGAAGGTGTCCATGGTGCTGCGGTACAGCTCCTGTGGCAAGACCCCACCCGGTCTCAGTGTGCCACCCTGTGCTGGCTGGGCCCCCTCCACCTCCACTCTGCACCCCCAGGACGTAGGACACCCAGGGAGGCATAGCCACACACACACAAACACACCATGCACACAGACATAACCACACACATCTTGGGACACACCTGCTGGCTTCTGGAGCCCTCGTCCCACCAGACAAGCTGCAGGCACTGGTCGCCCAGCCCTCCATCTCCGCTGCCTCCTCTCAGCCCCCAGGAGGCTTCCCACGTCACCATCTGGGTGACTTCCAAGTCCTGCACCCCACTTGTCCCTATCTGCCCCTCCATACTCCATACACCGGTGAGTTATTTGTGGAGGCCTCAGCTTTTCCCAGGACCACCTCAACACCACCCCTGGGAAGACCCTATTCCCATCAGAGCTGAGAGTCCTCCTGGGCCCCCAGGCCCTGGCCCTGTTGTCCTGCTCCAGGTCTCAGGAGCGCAGCCTTCTGAGTCTTTGCGCCAGCTCCTGGCTTGTCTCTTTCTCCAGATGCATTTCTTTAAATTATGAAAAATTTCCCATACCATAGATAGTATGTTGGACACCATGAGCTCACACTCTGAGCTTTTAAAGTTTTTTTTACATTGAAAACACCCAAGCTTGGGCTGGAGAGATGGCTCAGTAGAATAAATGCTTCCCTGGCAAGTGCAAGGGTCTGAGTTCAATCCCTGGTTCCACCAAAAAAAGAAAAAAGGAAAGAAAAAGAAATCTATTTTGGGGCCAGGGAGATAGCTCAGTAGAATAAGTGCTTCCCTGGCAAGCACAAGGGTCTGAGTTCAATCTCCGGTTCCACCAAAACAAAATAAAACAAAACAACAACAAAAAAACCACCCAAGCTCACAGCTCTGAGGCCACAGATCTGGGGCTGGGGAGATGGCTCAGTGGAATAAGTGCTTGCCTGGCAAGCACAAGGGCCTGAGTTCAATCCCCAGTTCCACAAACAAACAAACAGAGGCTGCAGACCTGGGGGCAGTGGGCACCTGCTGCTCCGCCTGTCTGGCACCTCCTTAGAGCAGCTCCTGCTGGTGCCTGCACTGAGGGCGGTTTCTTCCTCCTGCCTGCAGCAGCCTCCTCCTGTCCCTCCCAGCAGGCAGCTGTGCCTGGCCTTGCCCTCTGTCCAGACACCCCCACCCTCCTATCTGGGCCCATACTAGGGATATGGCACAGGAGTCACTGTGGACTGGATTGTTCCAAGTGCCAGCTGCCACCACAGGGCCTCCCGGGCACTCAGTCCTCACGATACTGCTGGGAAGGACTGTCACTGTCCCCAGTGCACAGCTGGGAACACTGAGAGCTAAAGACAGAATGGCTTCATTGTCATGCAGCCAGGCAGGGGGAGACCCAGGGTGCCAGGCCAGATGCTTGGACCTCCCTCAAGGCACCATCCCCTTGTCACACCCTCCCCACCAGGTGCCCACGGTTCTGCATGTTGCTTCTGCCCACTGGCCCGTGCCACTTCGTGACCTTCTGTGCTCTCCGCTGATCACGTCGTGGACCGACTGCCCACTTCCTGCATGAGTGGGAGGGACCCAGCTTGGGCCTGTGTGGTCACCCAGCCTGTGAGTATGGGTGGGCCTGACCTGCTGGGGTGCTCACCCCAGAGCATGTAGCACTGCACAGCATAGCCTGGGACTCTGCCGTCCTGGCTGGGGCCACCTACCTGGCAGAGTGCAGCGGCAGCCTCAGTGGCTCTGATGTCCTCCTCTTCCTCGAGGTCACTCTGCTTCAGCCGCTGCCGCTCCAGCACCTCATGGAAAGCCTGTGGTTCAAACAGGAACTGAATCTGGTACAAAAATGTGGGCTTTGCTTTCTCTCGGGATTCTCCCCAGCCTGCCCTGGCTGCTGAGGAGGCAGGGCTGTCCACCTTGATTTAGACTCAGGGAAATGGCAGGGGACCGTCACATGGTTTTTGCGGCCTGCAAACTGTGGACCTGACCAGGAGCAGCCAACCTACTTCCTGGGAGAAGCACACACCACACTTCCCTTATGCACAGTGAGAGGGCACTGCCAGGTCACCCGTCACCCTGGTCCTGGTCCCCAGTCACCAGACATCACTCTTGGACCACTCCGTGGGGATCCCACCCAGGGCAGAGAGGACCTGGGGGAGCCCAGCAGGGTGACAGTCACAGTTCAGGGTGGGCAGGGAAAGGCAGGAACATGGGATAGAAGGCCCAGTACAGCCAGGCAACAGTGGACAAGGGGAGAGGAGGTTGCACACCAAGGAGATGTCACGGGGACACTGGGCTGAGTCTCTGAGGGTACAGGGAGCCTGCGGGGAAACCAAGCTCAAGGAACAGTGCTGACCAACACCAAGAAGTCTTCAGCCTGAGGGTGGTGTGCAGTGGAAGTGATGGGGGGCAGGCAAAGAAGGGCGCTGGAGTTTGGTGCCCTTCATTCACTCCTCCATGCATTTGCCCATCCATCTACCCACTCATCCATGCATCCACACACCCATCCATCCACGCAACAACCCATCCATCCACATCCATCCACGCATCATCCATCCATTCACACATCATCCATCCATCCATGCATCTACTCATTCACCCATCCACTCATTCACCCACCTACTCATCCATCCATCCATCCATCCATCCATCCATCCATCCATCCATCCACCCACCCCTTCCTTTGTTCCACCCATGCATTCATTCAATCTTTCCCACTTCATTTTGGTCTCCTGGACACCAGCTGTGCTGGGTCCCGACACACAGGGACATTGGTCACCCTCCCCACTTTGGGGGCTCAGGCTCAGCTGAAGGATATCCAGGGCCCAGTGGAACAAATAGTTGCCTAGTGCATCTTTCTCATCCTGCAGCAGGGGCTGCTCCTATGGGGTGCACCCTCCCGGCACCTGCACTCCAAGGCAGCTCGGCTTCCCAGGGCTCTGGGTGGCCATGGGCAGTTGGGGTGGGGCTCAGCCTCTGCTGAGCTCTGGGGGCCTCCTGCGGCCTCTCCCTGGGGTGCTGTCCTCCACAACTCCACTCCGTGTCACTCCCACATTATCCAGCCAGAACTGAGCATAGCTGCGAGGAGTTGTCCCAGAGGGTCACCAGGGCCCAGAGCAGCTGCACGAGGTTGGAGCTGCCCCTCCCTTGGTCTCAGCATCCTAACACCGCTATGACACAGATGACACCATTCCCATGTCACACATGAGGGAAACAAGAGCCAGGGCTGGGTGTGGGGAAACATGTGTTGTGATTAAAAGCACAGTGGAAGTCTAAATTGGAGGAGCATCCAGCAAGCAGGGCACCTGCCATGCGGCCCTCCAGGTCCTCCGTGCGCTTGGAACATGCATCCTACAGCTCCTGCCGCTTGCTGAAGCAGCCATGGAAAGCCTCTTTTGTGTCCTAGTTAACTGTTGGGGCTGCCTTGGTGTCCTGAATCAATTCGAAGCATTTACCTTTCACGCTCATTTTGACTTTAGGGAAGAACTGGTGGTCACATGTGCCCAGGGACGAGGACACAGCGTCGTGTGTGATGCTGCCTTCCTAGTAGGTGGCGTTAGCAGCACTCACTGCCTTTGATTACGCTCCATAGGGACACTCACGAAACAGGACTCCAGGGCTGCTTCAGAAAGCAGCAACAAGTGACAAATGCATCCCAAGCAAGGGGGACGCGTTCTGAGGAGGCTCATAGCAATGTGTCTTGTTGTAATGAGTTTTAAGACCCACACACTTCCTGTGTACTCACACCATTAGCAACGTGTCTGGGCTGTGCTGGTCCCTCCCTGTGTGAGACAGCTGGAGGGGCAGCTCCTCCCAGTCCCCAGGAAAATTCAGGCTGAAAACAGAGCTCCTCTCCCTCTCTGAGAGTTGGCACACTGGGTCGGCACAGCCTGTGCTGGCACTGGCTGCCCCCTCTATCCCCTCGCTTCCTGCGGGTCTGCTGTCCCCTTCCCTGACAAGATCACGAACATCTTCTAGCTTGGCCACTCTCAGTCCTGCTGCTCAGCTCCCTATACTGGGCTGAGGACTGCTTCCTTCCCAGGGCTGAGAAGCTGGCCTTGGACAAGGGGACAGGCTGGTCCCCTCTGGTCCAGATAACATCCCCGGGTGCCACTACTCAGGTGCTGTCCTTCGGTCTGGCTGTAATGGCAGACACACTGCACGGACCTGAGAAATCTAGAAGCTTCACTAAGCAACTCAGCAGGTCTATATCCTTGGTGTACAGGACATGACTAGGGCAGCTGTGTACGCTGCAGGATGTTGGAATGGTTGATTCACTGCATCAACTTGAGACGTACAGAGGTTTAACTGAGTTGACTCAGCAGGGGCCTGGGGCCCTCACTTTGTAGACATCCTTATCCTGTGCAAGATGGGGGCACAGAGGTGGTGTGAGTGCTGCGCCCACCCCACGGCAGGAGCCTGCTTAACAATACAAGGGAGGCAATGTGGAGGGACCCTCAGCCCCCACCTGGGTCAACCTGCACGCGCTGGAGGGCATGGTTACCTTAAGGAACTCCTCCGGGTCTGAGGTCAGCGGAGAATCAGCCAGGAAGCTCCTTCGTTCCTCCTCGTGGGCCAGTGAAAGCTTGGCCGTCCCTTCTGCCTGGCGAGCCAGAGACGCCTGCACCAGGTCTTTGCTGTGCTGCACAAACTCTAGGAGTGGAAAGGCCACAAGGCAGGGGTAATTTCCCAGCAGGCCTGGCAGCAGGGCCACTGCTATGCCCCACCAGGGGGAGGAAGTGGGGCGGGGCAGGGCCAGTCTGAACCCCGCAGGTGACAGATCTGGGATTCTTTTCCTGGGTTGCACTAACAGCAGTCTCCATGAAGGCCCCAGTGTCCCCTAAGTCTTGAGTCCTCCCTCACCCACCGCCAAGGCTGGCTCTGGGATGAGTGGGGTTTGGGCACCTGCAGCTCAGCCACACGGTGCAGCTTTCTCTCCACGTCCCCCAATCCCCTTGCCCCCAGCAACTGGCAGGACCGCACCTCTCGTGCTCACTTCCGGGCACTGCTGTGTCTGTGCCTGGCTGGGACCCTCCACTCTGCTGTCCTCTGAGTTATAGGTGGTGGCCCCGGCCCTAGCCCTGCTTTACACAAGGCTTAGAGAGGGTGGGCGGCTCAGTGGCATGGGCCATGCTGCCCATGTCCTTTGTACCTGCTCCTCCTCCACGAGGACTGTGCCGCTTGCTCACCCTGGCCAAAGTGCCCAGCCTCTTCCCAGAAGGCCTTGTGCTGCTGCGCCAGCAAGTCTTCCTTCTGTCGTGAAGACAGCGTCCCCTGTGCAGTGAGCAGGTCCAGGCTGTGGGACATGGCTGCCAGGCGGCACTTGGTCTCCTCCTGGATCTGTGTCCGCAGGGACTCGATCAACTTGGCCATGTGCACCCTGCCCAGCGTCCTCTGCACAGTGTCCTGCAGGGAGATGCGACCCATGTCAAGGAGCTGAGGTCCTGGAGGCATCCCCTGGGGCCACGTCTGGGGCAGGAGCCTAGCGTGCACACAGGTCCTCCCCCCCTGCTGGCCATGTGCACCCTGCCCAGTGTCCTCTGCACAGCGTCCTGCAGGGAGATGCGACCCATGTCAAGGAGCTGAGGTCCTGGAGGCATCCGCTGGGGCCACGTCTGGGGCAGGAGCCTAGCGTGCACACAGGTCCTCCCTCCCCTGCTGGCCTGTCTCAGCTCTTGGCTCTGGAGGCCCAGGGAGGCTGAGTCCTGGGGCCTCAGCGTCTCACAGGTGAGCCGGGCATGAGGAGGGACACCGAAGTTCAGAGGCCAGCGCCTCCCGCTCTCCCCACCCCACTCGCACCTCTAGAGCCTGTGCCCCCAGCAACAGAGGGGCTTTGAGAGACGCCCAGGGGGCTCTGTCACTCCCAGGCCCCCAGTCCTCCACATCTAGTCCGAACTCCTGGGTGTGCCTCGCAGGGCCCTTTGATCCCTCGTGCCGCCCCCTTCCTGTGCAGAGCCTTTGCACGTGCCGGCCCTCTGCCCAGGACGCCTGGCCGCGTCTTCCTCCTGCCCACGGTGTCAGGGGTCTTTCCCCTACTTTCCGCTTCCAGATCCCACCTCTGTGCTCCTCTGTTTGACTCTGAGGAGTTAGTGCAGGAGTGCTGGCCACGGTCAGCCCAGAGCTGCGACTGTTAATCGGGATGTGAACTTCACTAGGTTAAAAGATGCACCAGATTAGCATAGCGCTCTGAGTGTGACATGATTGGCATGCGGGCCAGCAAATGGAAGGGGAAGACACGCCCAGATGTGGGTGGCTCCAGCCAATGGGCTTGTAGCTGAATGGAATGGGAAGCAGGAGGAGGAAGTCAGGCTGCATTTGAAGAGCTCCATTCTGCTGAGTCTGGGTGTCTTTTGCTGGGTGTTTTTTTTTTTTTTTTTTTTTTTTTTTTTTTCTGTGAACAACAGACTCCAGCTTCTTGGAGCCCTCTTTTCTGCCACCAAGCAGTTACTGGCTCTCTAGCACGCGGATAGCCAGAGTGGACTCTCTCACTCCTGAGACTTGCTAATAAAGCCCCTTGTATGAGTGCGCAGAGCTCGCGTTGCTCTCCGCGAGGCCACTAGAGGGCGCCGGAGGACCGCGGAGCCCAGGAGTGGAAGGCGCTCCGGCGACAGAGCGCCTGGAGGGGTGGGTAGGACGCAGAGACCTGCTCAAAGCCACAGAGCTGGGCGACAGCGGTCTGTCTCTGGGCTTAGAGTCAATGGAGCAGGGTGCAAAGAGTGGCGTAAGGGGCGTGGCGGGGGCACCATTGCTGGAGCATGGCAGGGTTCCTGGGGCACTGTCTCAGGGCTGCATGCCAGGGCCAGGGCTGCCACACTTGGTGGCCAAAACCCAGAGATGACATGTGAGACTCAGGTAAGGTAAACCACGTTAGGCATCGAACTACGAGCCAGGGCAAGCTGTCTCCATCTGCGCCAGCTGTTTTCAGGGGAATCACAAATGCAAGCGCAGTCGGAGCAACTTAGTGACTTAGCAAGACCCTGTCTCAAAACTTGAAAGGGCCAACTCAGCACAAAGGCGCTGGCTTCTAGCCTCAGTATCACAAACTACAAACAAACTCTGTGTAAGGTTCCCATGCCACTGCGTATTTGGCAGTCCTGACACAAAGGATGGCAGGCAGGACTGCATTTCTAACCAGACCCCAAGCGAGGATGCTGCGGTGCAACCGCAGGCCACGCCTCCTGCGGTGGTGTCCTTCCTCGGAGGTCCCGCGCGGGAGCGGCGGTGCTTGCAGGGCCTGGCTCCTCCGCAGGTCACAGAATTTGAGTCTCTGCTGAGGATGGGCATCACCAGGGGCAATAAGTGCCACATGGGAGGGCCGTTACACCAGCCTTTCACACACAGGACCCCTGACCAAGGACAAGGGTCTTAGAAGTCCCGTGGGCCCTGCCTGTGGCAAATCATAGCACCAGAATTTTATAAACAGGTTGCTAGTGCCTCAGGGAGGTTAGGGATGTGTTTGGCATCCTCCGAGCACCAGAGCCTAGCTTCCGGGCTGGGTTCCTGGATTCCTCTACACTGGGGGCTGGTATCTCTCGCTGCTCACCAGAATCCCCAGGCCAGGGCCTCCACCCCAGATCCTATGGGGATGGGGGCTGGCCCAGGCACAGGTGACACGGATGCCCTGTCTACACCAGATGCCACTCGGCACCATCAGAGAGCTCAAGAAACCCCAGGACCCAGGGTCTGCGCTCTGCGTGGGGACTCACCCAAGACCCGAATCAGAACCTCTCCAAGCTTCCCAGCTGCTGCCAAGGTGCGACCAGACGTGGGACCCCAAGCGCCAGGCTGCTGGAACACTCAGGGGTCAGCACCACACTAGCGGTAGTGAGTGGGCGGACAGATTAGTGGGTAGACGAATGGATGGGGAGTGGGGGGGGGGTGGATTCACTGCGCATCCACCACAGGAAAGTGTATGCTTCATGGCCTCCTGGAAGCTTCAGGTCTCCGCCTTCCCCTCCAGTAGCCCAATGGGCTCCTCCCTCCTACCCCGCCCCTCCAGCCTTACCAGAGCCTGCAGATCCTGAGACTGGCGCAAGAGCCCTTCAGCCACAATCATTCTCGCTGTCAGAGCCATCATGAGCTGCCGGGCCTTGGCGCTGGAACATTTAAATTGGTCCACAAGAGAGTTCTGGATGTTTTCCATGTGTTTCCAGAAAGCTTCCATCTGTGAAATGAGCAAGGGAGGCAAGAGTCAGGGGGGAGAACTTATTTAAGAAAGAAAGCTGTATGGCTTGTGCATGGGAATGGCAATTCCTTCCTGGTCACGAACAAGGCTCAGAAGGATCCTACAGCCTTGGTGTTCACTTTGACAAAGTCACGGGCTATAGAGAGGCTGCACCTGGCCACCATAGGCAGCAGTTGTTTAGAGATGGCTTTTTCAGCAAAGCGGTGCCTGGCTGCCCCTGAAGGAAAGCTAGGAGCTCGCCCTGATCTGAGGCTCGTAAGCAGACCTCGAGTGCTACCTGGGGGCACACGGAGTGTGACTGTGCTGGGAGGTTCGGGGCCTTTAAAAGGGGTTAAGTCCTGCCTGGAAATGGAGGCATCACTGGGACCTGGCAGAGATGGCACTGAGTGAGAAAGCACCTGGCTTTTAAGTGGCCCATGAGGCCCACACTGCTGGGGGCTTAATTTGTGACACTGCAGCTCTTGGGCACCAGGAGAACAGCGCGGCCAGGAAGGTTAACAACTGCTCCCAAGGCGTGGGTGTGCCAGGCTGTGCCCACAGGCTGTGTCCAGATGAAACGTGCCTGGGGGTGGCCTGGCAGGGGGCTCAGTAGTTATGTCCTTTGTCATGTGTCACAGAACTGGGGACAGCAAGAGGCAGGATGGTAACATTTATTTATTTATTTTGGGGCTTTTTTTGGGTAAGGGGGGAATTGAACTCAGAACCTTGTACTTGCCAGGCAGGCGCTTGTGTCACTGAGCTGTATCCCCAGCCCAGGATGTTGAAGTTTAGATGTGGAATGAGCCCAAGTGCTCTGAGGTGGGGTTCTGGAGGGTGGCACAAACACAGGGCTAGCACCCAGGGATGAATCCACTGTTGAGCTCATGGCTGCGTTGGCGGCAGGGGCTGGCCGGAAGAGGTGGCCCTGGGGGCGGGGCCTGGAGGGCTCCTCTCCCTCCTGGCTCCGCCCTTCTCTCCCTGCTTCCTGTCCCCTCTGCCCAGAGCAGCTCCCCTCTGCTAGGTCCTTTCCTGCCTTGGAGCCGCTGACCAGAGACTGTAACTCAGAGCCAGAATAAACCTCTTGTGTAGGTTGAGGGTGTTGAGTATTCAGTCGCAGTGGCGGGAAGGTGACGAGGATATGGCGCTTGCCTTGGGTGCACTGAAGCCCATGGCGCAGATTTCCTCCATCTTTGCATGGGTTGTCAGACGCCAGCCCCGATCCTTCTTGCTAGAAGGGATGGAAGGGGGCAGGAGGTGACCGCACCAGAAAGTCACGCTGACCTTGCTTCTCTGACCAGAAGTCACAACGCACGAATCCCTGCCAGGACACCGTGGTGCCTGTGGGAGCCGACAGTGCCTCCCCTGGGGGCCTCACTGCCCTGGACACCCGGCTCTGCCGCTGCCCAGCCCCTCCTTCCGTGTCCTCGGAGAGACCACACCCCCCGGCACCCTCACGCTCTGCCTGCTCCCCCCTCCCACCCCCCAGCGGGTCCCTGCTTTCCAACTTGTGCAGGAGAGTGCAGGCTCCTTGCACATCCAGGCCCGCAGTTCCGCGCATGGGCTTTGTCTTCTCCTGCCAGCCTGGCCAGGATGCCCACCCCTCCTCCTCAGTGCACCCTTCCCAGTGCAGCAGGGGTGTGGCCGCCTCTCAAGCAGCTCCTTTGCTGCGGCCCTGTCTCAGACCTCGGTTGCGCCTCTCACCTCCTGGCAAGATCCGAGATTTGGGGCCACATGGGAGGTCCCCGGTCTCAGGGAATTCAGGAGCGCTCTCCGTGCAGGGCTAGGGGTCCTGGGCCATAGGAATCTGGGCTGAACCTGGCCCCTTACCATCTCTTACAAGCTCCCAGTACCAGGGACCCCTTGTGCGCTGGTCCTGTTCCCTGGGCCTCACAGAGCCCCTCCATCCCAGGTTCTCCCCACAAGCCATCCAAGCCAGCCTCCCCTGCCCTCCCGGCTGGCTGCTCATGCAGAGCCTTCACCATCAGCGCTGGCTTTCTCTGTCCTCTTCCTCCCAGAGTCTGGGGGGATCCTCTAACAGGGAAGCTGGGCCAAGCCACCCTGGCCTCAGAGCTTCTGTGATTCCCACCTTGCCGCGGTGAGAACACAGCTTGCAGGGCTGGTCTCTCGGGCTTTCTCTTGCTCTCCCGGCCTGTTGCCCTCTGCGGCTTCCAGTAACTACCCACCGCTTGGCGTCCACCTCCCCGCCAAGCAGTGGAGCAAAGTGAGCCTCTTCCACTGTGCCTCGGCCTCTCCCCTGCACTTCGGCCACCATGCCTGGGGCCAGGGGTCCTCACCTGCTCACCAAGGGTCTCACCTGGCACCCTCAGGGCTGAGCTAGTTTTAAACAATGAATGCTGAATCCCCGTGCCCAACACAATGAATGGCCAAGAGCATATGCCAGGGAAATGCCCACTGAATCCACAGTGTAAGACCCAGGAAAGCGAGACCCCCCAAAAGGTGGCCTCTAAGAATGCATCCACTCTGGAATTTAAAACATGCTTTTCAAGATGCTCTGGGTTTGAGAATTGAGCAGCAAGCGTCTACTTACCCCACAGGGCAAGAATGACATTGAGGGTCATAGCAATCTTTGCTTTGAATGATCAAAAGATCAATCTAAAATTTAAATTAAAAAAAAAACCTTGCTCTGTAAATCTTTGCTTCCTAATTATACCTCCTCTATGGCTTAACTACAGAGGCTGAAGCCCTGCCTCAGGGGCAGAGTGCAGCAGGGAATTGAAGCATTCAACCTGTTCCTAAGCACTGGCTCTTTCATCTCTCCAATTACTGGCCCAGAAGCCGAGGTTATCTTAGGGGACAGAAAAAGCACTGCGTACGTGGTCTGTGAGATGCTCTGCGCAGTCTCTCTCCTTCTTCTCCACATCTGCTAGGGTGATGTACCCAGAGTCATTGGTGCTCAGTGCTTCCACGTTCGCCAGTTTGACCCGAAGTTCCTTCTCTAATTCCTCCAAATCCTGTGGGGGGGGGGGGATAGATCAAATAAAGAGAACATCTACCATATTTTAAATTCTAGAAAAACACATTTTCCCCATATTACTAGAAGAATTTTCTCAACAATAATTAAATGATCTAGTTGTTGCCCTCCTTAAGGTTTGATTGATCCAAATTTACTTTCCTCATTAAACACAGAAACTTAAAGGATTATTTCCTTCTATACTCCCTTCTCAAAAAGACTAGATATACTTAAAAAGCAATGAAATCACATCTTTTAATCATCGCAAAGTCCTAGAAAATGTCATGACATCTATGGGGTTAGGACGGAAAGTTTCTTCCCTACTCACTTAGTTTCAGTGAGAAAAGATTACATGCTACACCTCAGGGGAGGAAATGATGTGTGCACATTATGGGTGGGCTCAAGAACAGGAAGTGAGGGTGGGGCTTTAGCTCTGTGGCTCAGCTGCCTTCCTGGCAAGCAGAAGTCCTGAGTTCTATTCTGGGTACCACAAAGAAGAGGAAGAGGAAAAAGAGGAGGAAGAAGAGGA